AACCTGTGAGGTGTATCTTTTTACAAGACTTATTGTGATTCAAGTTTGAAGGAAAAAAAAAATATTTTCATCCTTGCTGTGTTTCTAGTTAATGTTGTTTTGAGTCCTCCCTTTGGGTAGAGGTAAAGCTGCCAAATCTGAGTTTCAGTTAGGCCCACCTCACCAGTAAGCTTATATTGGACTAGATGTGGGTGAAATCTGTAAGTTGTAAACATCCACCCAAGCAGAGCAAGATGTAGAAAGTTGTTCTGTAGAATGCACCTGCATTCAGTAAAGTATCTGTGGCTAATTAGGGAAACTGGAATGCCTACCATCCAGACTGGTGATCTGCTGCAGTTAGAATGCTTTGGGAGATTAGCTGTCTCTCCCCAAGCCGCAGGAGGTGTGACCCTGCAGGTTACAGCTTTATTTTATAACAGAAAATTAAGGCAATAAAGCATGGAAGTGAATTTTTGTTTGTTTGTTTGTTTGTGCGAGGGATTGAACCCAGGGCCTTGTGCTTGTACTCTATCACTGAGCTACATCCATAATCCCTGGAAGTGTATTTCCCCCCTTTTTATTGGCACATTATAATTATACATATCAGCAGAATTTGTTATATATTCATACATGCACACAATAAAACAGTATAATTTGATCAATTTTATTCTCCAGTATCTCCCCTTCCTCCTTCCCCTGTTCCCCTTCTACTATTCTACTGGTCTCCCTTCTATTTTTTTTAAATTTGTTTTAATTAGTTATACATGACAGTAGAATGCATTTTGACACATTTTACACAAATGGAGCACAACTTTTCATTTCTCTGGCTGTACTTGGTGCAGAGTCACACCCGTGGTGTAATCATACATGTATATAGGGTAAAATGTCTGTCACATTCTACCTTTCTTCACGTCCCTCCCTCCTCTTAATCCTCTCTGCACAATCCAAAGTTCCTTTATTCTTCTGCTATTACCACTACGGATCAGCATCTGCTTATCAGAATACATTTGGTCTTTGTTTTTTGGGGATTAGTTTATTTCACTTAGCATGATGTTCTATAGTTCCATCCATTTACCTACAAATGCCATAATTTCATTTTTCTTTAAGGCTGAGCAATATTCCATTGTGTATGTGTACCACATATTCTTTATCTATTCATCTGTTGAAGGGCACCTAGGTTGGTTCCATAGTTTAGCAATTGTGAATTGAGCTCCTATGAACATTGATGTGACTGCATTACTGTAGTATGCTGACTTTAAGTCCTTTGGGTATAGACTGAGGAGTGGGATAGTGGGTCAAATGGTGGTTCCAATCCAAGTTTTCTGAGGAATATCCATATTGCTTTCCAAAGTGGTTGCATCAATTTTCAGTCCCATCGGCAATGTGTGAGTGTGCCTTTTCCCCCATATCCTTGCCAACACTCTTTATTGCTTGTATTCTTGATAATTGCCTTTCTGACTGGAGTTTTGATTTGCTTTTCTCTAATTGCTAGAGATGATGAATATTTTTCTATATGTTTGTTGATTGATTATATTTCTTCTGTTAAGTGCTTGTTCAGTTCCTTAGCCTATTTATTGATTGGGTTGTTTGTTTTTTTGGTGTTATGTTTTTTGAGTTCTTTATATATCCTGGAGATTAGTGCTCTATCCAAGGTGCTTGTGGTAAAGATTTTTTCCCATTCTATAGGTTCTCTCTTCACATTATTGATTATTTCCTTTGCTAAGAAGAAACTCTTTAGTTTGAATATATCCCATTTATTGATTCTTAATTTTATTTCTTGTACTTTAGGAGTCTTGTTAAGGAAGTAAGCTAAGCTGATATGATGAAGATTTGGGCCTACTTTTTCTTCTATGAGGTACAGGTCTCTGTGCCTAAGTCTTGGATCCAATTTGAGTTGATTTTTTGTACAGGATGAGAGAGTTTTATTTCATTTTGTTACACATGGATTTCCAGTTTTCCCAGAACCATTTGTTAGATAAACTGTCTTTTCTCCACTGTATGTTTTTGGTGCCTTTGTCTAGTATGAGGTAGCTATATTTATGAGGGTTTGTCTCTGTGTCTTCTATTTTGCATTGGTCTACATGTCTATTTTGGTGCCAATATCACGCCTGGAAGTGTATTTTTTAATTTTCAATCCATCTTAAAATTTTTTAAATTGGGTATTTAGAAATAATGTTAAACCTATGAGAAAGGCCACAAGAACAATACAATATATAAATCTGTAAATCTTTTGAGAGTAAGTTGTAGACATGACTCATCTTTACCCTTAAATATCTCAGTGTGTATTTCCTAAGAACAAGGACAGGCCCTCATGTAACCATCTATTTTTTCAAATTCAAGAAGTTTAATACAGGTAAAATTCTTGAACACATAGTCCATATTCTGATTTCTCTAATCATTCCAGTAGTGTACTTTGTAGTAATTTTTATTTCCAAGAATAGAGGCCAGTTGGTATACCTAAATTTGGGTTTATATAGTGTGTTTTTTCAGTGATTAGATTTAGTTATTTATTTTCAGCAAGTGGACCAAGGATATGATACAGTTTTTATATCAGGAGGCACATGACATTGTGCTTGATCCATTATGGATAACTTGTATCACTTGGATATTAGTTACACCTTTTTCTTTTTAATATTTTTTAGTTGTTGGTGAGCCTTTATTTTATTTATTTATATACGGTGCTAAGAATCAAACCCAGTGCCTCACACATGCTAGGCAAGCGCTCTTCCACTGAGCTACAACCCAAGCCCATTAGTTGCACCTTCAAATATTTAATCCTTAAACTTGTTTGAATCTACATCTTTCTGAATTTTGGGAAGAATGAAGGGACAACTTACACTGAGTTTTATCTGATAAATCTGATAAGTATGAGATATGTAATTCCATGTTATGTGTGTTCTCTTTCAGACCAGTTGGATGCAGTCTTTATTCCTGTCATAAATTTCAGCTGTGGGATATTTGCTGGTATTCTGGCCTCCCTGGTAACTCAACCTGCAGATGTTATCAAGACCCACATGCAGCTCTCCCCAGTGAAGTTTCGGTGGATAGGCCAAGCAGTAACTATCATTTTCAAAGTAAGACCATAGAATGAGTATAGTTTCTTGTAGTGGATAAGGATCTCTAAAGCAGTAGTTCTTGTCCTTCATTCATTTGGAATCATTTGAGAAGCTTTTAGAAATCTGCATTCCCATGTCAAAATCTAGGCCAAAGATATCAGCGATCTGGTGGAAGGGCAGTATCAGAACTATTTTTTTAGGGGCTTGGGGTGTAGCTCAGTAGTAGAGCATGTGCTTAGCATGTATAAGACTGTGGGCTCAACTCTAGCACCAAAAGAAAAAAAAATCAGAAAAGTTTTGTTTAAAGGTCCCAGTAATCCCAGTGTGCTGCCAAGGTTGAGAACCATAAAAGCTTATGTGTTTTTGTTTTTGTTTTGAGGGGAGGGGCACCTATATTAGGATCCCCTGTTCATCAACATGCAGATTGTTTGACTATAGCCCAGATCTGCTGAACAGGACGTCTGGGTGGTCTCAGTACTCTAATTAAGGACATAGGAAAAAAGATAGTCAGAAAAGAAGCATACATATTATGTTCTAGCTGTTTGGTCTAATACAAATGGTACTGAAAATAAAATGTTATAAAAGATATAAAAGGCTCTAAAGCACTATTTAAAAACCAGTGGATTGGCCGTTTTGGAACACAGTACTGTTATCACACACCAGATATTCCTGTTAAAAATAAATGTGAATTTGTGACTCTAATACTGCTCATACCATTTAGGCTGTCTGCTTTCTTATTCTCTGTACATAAAGTCATGAAGTACAACAATAATATATTTTTAAATATATGTGAAATTGCAAATCATTTCAGGTTATGAGGGAGAAAGAAGAGGTGTTTTGCTAAGTGCAGAGGTACATGCCTCCCAGCGGTTTAGGAGGCTAAGGCAGGAGGATCAGGAGTTCAAAGCCAGACTCAGCAAAAGCAAGGCACTAAGCAATTCAGTGAGACCCTGTCTCTAAATAAAATACAAAATAGGGATGGGGATGTGGCTCAGTGGTTGAGTGCCCCTGAGTTCAGTCCCTGTTACCCCCTAAAAAAAAATGAAGAGGTGTTTTGCCTTTAATTCTTATACAGATAGGGCTACCAGGAGCACACAGTGAATTACACAAAAAGTACTCCCTCCTGATAGACAAATGCTAAGAAGCCTACTCTTCCTTCAGCCTGTATCCAGGATCCAGGTTTGGCAAACAAACCTTGGCATGGATTTCATCTGCTACTTGGGGCTCAGTGCTTCTGTGTAGTGTACAGACCATACAACTATACACAATAATCTTGCATGATGTAGGGGGCCTGTGAGTGTTGCTCATGGTAGAGAGCATGCTTAACATGTACAAGTCTGGATTCAGTACCTAGCACCCCTCACTCAAAAACATAAAACAAAAAGATTTTTAAGAAATTCTCTTAGATAGAACAGGCTTAAAGCCTAGCAGGTATGCAAAATGATTTTTTTTTCTTCTTCTGTTACCAGGGATTAAATCTAGGGCTGCTCCATGCTGAGCTACATCCCTAGCCCTTTTTATTTTTTATTTGGGGACAGGATCTTGCCAAGTTGTTGAGGCTGGCCTTGATATGCATTTTTCTGCCTCAGTCTCCTGAATTGCTGGAATTACAGGCATGCACCATCACAGCTGGTCAGAAAACATTTTTTAAAGTTCATTAGTTATCTTTTTTTTCCTTTTGTGGTGGTAGTGGAGTACCAGGGATTGAATACAGGGGCACTCAACCACTGAGGCACATCCCCAGCCCTATTTTGTATTTTATTTAGAGTCAGTATCTCACTGAATTGCTTAGTACCTCGCTTTTGCTGAGGCTGGCTTTGAACTCGTGATCCTCTTGCCTCAGCCTCTTAAGCCACTAGGATTACAGGTGTGTACCACCGGGTCTTATTCATAGATATGGCATATATTTTAGAAACTAAGACTCAGAAACAAGGTAACAGAGACTCTCTGGTGCCAGATGGATAGTTAATTATATTACTACTTTATTTCTGGAGTTTTGACATTTATTTTCATCATAGGACCATGGATTGCGTGGCTTCTTTCAAGGCAGTGTCCCCCGGGCCCTCCGCAGAACTCTGATGGCAGCAATGGCATGGACGATCTATGAAGAGATGATGGCCAAAATGGGCCTAAAGTCCTGATAAGAGAGGACCAGGAAATGGTGGAATCTGCTGTCCTGCTTGGTTCCTGTCAAGCACTGCTTTATCGCAGCATCTGGAGTCTGGTGAAGTCCTACCTGGAAAGCCAGGAAGAAACATGTTTGCCTTCAGTCCCCCATTGAAGGAGACCTGCCTGGAGGCTTCAGATTCCCAGAAAAGGAGTCACCAATGCACAACACAGCCCACTAAAAAGTTGGGACAGAGGTTCGTATATCCTGCAAACTACTTGAAAGACATTTCCAGAGAGATGTCTGCCAGGTGGTTCTGCTTTAGCCACCTGCCTACACTACAGCTCCTTGAGCATGTGCCTGGGCAAGGAGTCATAATCCGGAGAAGCTGTAGGCCTCCTTCCATGTCTAAGGAGCTCTACATGGGGAAGACTAGATCTGAGAAGAGACATAGTAATGTCCACCAGGTGAAGACTGTCTGAAGTATACCAAGTGTAAGAAGAAAATATTTCATTTATTTGGTTCCTAATCATCTTCTCAGAGGCTCTGGAGAATGGGGATAGTAACTTCCTAGTCTCTAAACATCCAAAGAAAAATTTTTGGTGTTGGCCCCCGTACTGTTTCAACTGTAAGCTGTTCTGGCCTTTTTCCACAACTAAAGTTTGGATTAATAAAGTAATATTCTTTATCTTTGAAAGCTGTTTGTAAAATTTAAATAGTATATTTATCATTCTGTTTGAAAATAATAAATTAGTTCTAGGGTGGTTGTTAACTTATATAGGTCATTAAAACCTAATTTTTAAAAAATAACCTTGTTTTACATATTATACAATTCATCCATTTCAAGTATACAATTCAGTGATTTTCAGTAACTTTACTGAATGGTGTAGCCATCACCATAAATTAGTTGTGAACATTTTCATTCCCTAGTAAGATCTCTCATACATTCATAATTAGTCTTCATTTCCATCCCCAGCCTACCACTCATCTACTTTCTGTCTATAAATTCACCTTTTCTGGACGCTTCATATAATAATAAATAATGAAGTCTGTTGTATTTAGCTTCTTTCCACTTAGTATGTTTTTTGAGGTTGATTCATGGTGTGACATGTTTGATTCTTTATTCTTTTTTACGCCCAAATAACATTCTATTGTATGCATGTATGGTTGACCTACAGTGTACATGGAGATTTTATGCAGGCCCTCCCATGGATGGTCAACTTCCTTATATAGGATGGCATAATATTTGCATATAACCTACATCATCTTCCCTTATATTTTAAATCATCTCCAAATTACTCATAATTTATTTCAAATGTAATGTAAATACTTTGGAACTAGTTGACACACTGCATTGTTCAAGGAATAATGACAAGAAGAGTGTATACATGTTCAGTACAAATATAAGTTTTTTTTGTTTTAACCTTTTTAATCACATTTTAGTTGAGTTTACACACATGTAACTCTAGGACCAGCCAGGCAACTGTGCTTTATTAATCCATTCTTGAATTGATGAATGTTTGGGTTAATTTCACTTTGAAGCTGTTGTAAATAATGCTGCCATGAATATTCATGTACAAGTGTTGGGATTTTTTTTTCATTTTTCTTGAGCATATACTTAGGAGTGGAATTACTAGACCAAATGGTAAATGTTTAATACTTTTGGAAGTTTTCAAAAACTGTTTTCCAAAGCAGCTGCACCATTTTACATTACCAGCAGGAGTGTGTAGAAATTCTAGGTTCTCCACATCCCCTTCAACACTTGTTACTGTCCCCTTTTACTGGGGCTATCCAAGTATTTTCTTTCAAATTTAGAAGAGTCATTGCTTTATCCAAGGAGCAGACGGAGTTGTGTGGTCTTGTGGTTATCTTGGGTTCTGATCCACATAGCACTTCACTTAGACATATTGAAATTATGCCTAGGAAATGGGAATAGTTAATATTTTCTACCTCCTAGGGTGGTAGTGAGGGTTGAGTGAGTAAATGTTTCTAGAACATTGTATTAGTTTCATAGGGTTGTATCAACAAATTAACCATAAGCTGGATCACCAAAACAACATAAGTTGTTTCAGTTCTGGAGATAAAGCAGAGCATTTACTTCATGCTCTCTTGAAAGTTCTGGAGAACCATTTCTTGTCTGTTCTTCTGGTGATTGATGGCAATCCTTGGTGTTCCTGGGTTTACACATGCATCACTCTGATCCCCTACCTCTGTCTTCATATGTTTTCTTCTCTGGGTATGTCTCTCCATGTCCAAATATCTCTCTTAAGGACTCCAGTCATCCAGACCCAGGACCTCATTTTAGCATAAAGACCCTACTTCCAAAAAAGTTCACATCCACAGCTACTATAGATTAGAACTCCAACATGTATTTTGGGGGCATGCTTCATCCCATAGCATAAATATATTTAATGATTTATAAGTTTACAATAAGTTTATACTTTAAGTTTTAAATTAAAACTGTCCTATTTAAAATAATTTGGGTAGGACTATGGGAGAGCATAAAGCAGTTCCTGGCTTCATAGTGGCACCCAAACCACCAGTGTGGTGATCTCCATGTTGTGAGTCCTGTGCTGGGAGAAGCACTTAAGATGTGAAGGCAAGTTAGAGAGAGAGTAGCTATCTCTTAAACTTGGGACATGGTAGCTGTTCCATGTCCTCAGGATCTCTTCAGTCTCCTTTGACCCTTGAGGCCAGAGAACCTGTAGGTGAGGCCCCTTGGGGAAGAGGGGCAGAGATGAATCTGGATGTATGGACTTCCCCATGTGGATTTGCTGCCTTACACCTGGTGAATTTCAGTCACTGGAGCTCTGGGGTAGTGTTTCGTTTTGCTTTGAGGGGGTGGAGTGCAAATAAACAGAAGAAATAGCTTAATTTTCTCCAAACATGAAATAAGACTGAAATTTACTGGAAATCCTTATTCCAGTGGCAAGTGGTCCTAGAACACATTCCAAGCCCCAAGGATAACTCACCTTTTCTCTCTTCTCATGTCTCATGGGATTGAAGCTCAGAAATGAAGTGACTAGGAGTTCCATCTGGCATTGGAAACTTTGCCCATTGCCCTGTATTGTTTTGTTTCAATTTGAAAACCTGTGTTCCTCATTGAAAAAAAAATTAATATACTAGAAAAAGAGGGGGCAGGGAAAGCCAATGCCCTTACATCATATGTGGTCCTCAGGTTAACTTCACATAGAATTATCTGGGAGTTATTTGTAAAATAAACAAAAATTAAAAAAAAAAAAATCTGGGGTTGGGCACTATACATTTAAAAACTCTCCAAATAGATTCTAAGTGCAACCAGGGTTGAGATCTGCTGTATTATTAAAAATTTAAATTTTGTTATTTCTTTATGGTAATCTTTTAGTAGCACAGGACTTAAACCTTCATAGTTATCCTCATCCTAAAAATTATTTTTGGTATCACAGAACATAACTTCATTATTTTTTAAACATTTTTTTTTGTCATTGGACCTTTATTGATACGCAGTGCTGACAGTTGAACCCCAGTGCCTCACACTAAGCAAGTGCTCTGCCACTGAGTCCAAGTTTCATTATTTTTAAGTGGCTGCATGGTATTGTATTGGATGGAATAAATCTTTATTAACGGCCTACAGATAGAAACTGCATTTTGTGTGTGTGTGTGTGTGTGGGGGGGGGGTCTACCAAAAACTAACAGTCTCATGTGTACAGTCTTTTTTTTCGGGAAAACTTTCCGTAAGTGAACACTTGAAATCTGAATTACATGCTGATAATAGTTCCTCCAGGTTTTGTTTACTTAATACTTAGGCTTGATGTGGTGCACATACTGTCCTACATTACAATAAGAGAAACTCAGACGACGAAACGGCCCAAGTTCACCTGCGACTCGGTAAGACGGTCACACACTAGGTCCGCGGCCGCGTCCCAGCGCTCCAGCAAGCATTCTTGACAGGCTGTCGGAGGAGCCCGGTTAAACCCGAAATTCAACCTCTCGGTTCAAAATAGTCTGCGCTTGCTCTGTGAGTCCGCCTTCCGGAGCGGGAAGTCGCGTCCCAGCGTCGCACCGCTCCGCCCGCCCTCCTTCCGCTTGATTTTCTTTGCCATTGGTTGATGATGGGCTATATAAGAACGTCATTTCCGGCTGCCTGTCTTTTCCGCGCTACCCAGGGAGGGATCCGTACGGCGTTGTTCTTGGTGCGTTTCTTTTGGGGGTTCCTCGCGCTCTCTTAATCAGCCTGAACCAGTTTCCTATGCAGATAAAGGGCGCGAAAACTAAAATGAAGGCCCGTGGGGCCTGGGCCGCCTTCCGTCGGCGTGCTCTGCCTCAGGCCTGCGGCCCACACGTGGCTAGGCTCCCGGGCCGAGGTACGGACCATGGCGTGAGTGGGCTGGGTCCCTTCGCCCCCCCAATGTCAGTAAACAGAGACCCAAGGGGCGATCTACACCACCTGCTTGGCTGTAGTGTTTTCTGTTAGCGCCTTGCGGGTCAGGAATTAAAATTCTTAGCAAGGTTTTCGGAAACTAGTGATGGCTTGGGGAAGTAAATTCCTAAACTTAGGGTTACAACCTTCTGGGGGGAAAAAACCTGTTAAGCTTGGCATATGCTCAAACATGGCGGCTCTTTTCACATCTAGTTACCTTTGTCCATAACTTTGCTTTATTCTTGTGTACCTTGAGAATCGTTAAATTTAGTTAGCTGGTTTTTAAATTACTTTGGTGTTTTGTGATCCACGCTACTTTTCTTTACCAGATTTGATATGCTGGGCGTGGTGGCTCACGCCTGCAAATCCAGCGCCTCCAATGACTGAGGCAAGAGAATTGCAAGTGAGTTTCTAACTCAAAAAAGACTGGGTAGATAACTGAGTGGTGAGCGCCTCTGGGTTCAATTACCGGTACCAAAAAAGAGTTAATTTGCTGTAACTCTTAGTATGCTGTGCGCCCGTTAATTTTCTGTCTTGCTCTTTCATTACCTTGTAAGCTCAGTACCTGACACTGTAGAAGATGAAATTTGGTTGCATTTAAACTTGAAGTTTAAATGGAGCCACCCCTATTGCTGGTATAGTTAGAAAGCAATCCTCTTTCACTTCATTCACACTAGATTGTTAACATTTTTCTTTCAGATTCCCGTCGTAACTTTAAAGGGAAACTGTCACAATGTCCGGAGCCCTTGATGTCCTGCAAATGAAGGAGGAGGATGTCCTCAAATTCCTTGCAGCAGGAACCCACTTAGGTGGCACCAACCTTGATTTCCAGATGGAACAGTATATCTACAAAAGGAAAAGCGATGGTCAGTTACTGCTTTAATTTTTTGTTATTTTAGCTGTAAGTACAAGTTTTGATTATGCCTTCTCATGGATAGTACTAAGGGTTTTGGTGGTGGGGGGGAGAAAATATTTTTGAATTCTGGAGGGAAGACTATTTATATCTTAGGTTTGGGGATTTGAAAAGATGTGAAATGTCAAGTACCTTATTTCCTATATTTCCTCCTACTTAAAGGTTTATTTAACTGAATTCTAAGAAGAAAGTACAGCAAAGGGTGGGGATAAGCAACTTTGCTTGGAAACAGAGAAGGAAAGATAGGTTATGATAACAACCTGGAGTAAAAGATTTAAGCTTGGGAGTGCAGTGCTGTAACTGAGATGTAGAATGAGTATGTTATCAATGGAGATAGAAAAGGAAGAGTGGCTAGAGGGCCTGGAAGTGGGTAAGAATTTAGAGAGGAGCCCAGGGGTCCAAAGATTTCTACAGAAGAAGAGAAAGAAAAAGATGGACTTTGCCAGTGCACACTATTAAAGCTCAGGGTGGAGGCCAGTCTTGGCCAGTGAACTTCTGAGTGTCGGAAGTGTGCTACATCAATGGCAGGATTTTCGCTAACACCAGTAGAGTTTATCTCTATGACTGGAGTTGATAGTACTCACTGCCACATACACTCACATTTATCAAAGAATGTGCCATTTGCATAGCCAGTTCACATGTTTTTAAAATATCCATCTGGGGGTTTAGCTCTGGTGGAGTGTATATTTAATCTTACTCCAGGCTGTGGATTTAATCCCTAGTACAAAAAAAAAATGTTCTCATCTAGGCATCTACATCATAAATCTGAAGAGGACCTGGGAGAAGCTTCTGCTGGCAGCTCGTGCCATTGTTGCCATTGAAAACCCTGCTGATGTCAGTGTCATATCCTCTAGGAATACTGGCCAGGTATGTGCAACAGTGCTTAATTTTTATGGAAACAAAATAGACAATTATTTCTGGAAGTTCTTTAAGGATTTTATACACTCCAAATATTTACAGATTTGAGTTATTCCTATAGAACGAACTAAGGGACTGCTCTTGCTTGTTTTCAGCAAAAATTTACCAAGCATATCTAGCCTGGTCCTGACATGCTAGATCTGTGGGATATGGCAGAAAAATAAATCTGGGACTGGTTACTGATCCCAGGGCTACCACTACTAGCCTCTTACAGAAGCATCTTATGTCAATCTGCCTACCATTGCTTTGTGTAACATAGACTCCTGTGCTATGTGGACGTTGCCATTTCATGCAGGTAATAGTCTCTGGAGAATAAGAAAGGGAGGGTAAAGAAAGGTGGTAATGTACTTTTCTTCACATTGGGTGACTGATTAAATTTGACCAGACCTCAGAAATGTGTATTAGGTGCCAAACTGTTCTGTTAGGTGTATGCATTTCTCATAGCTAGTTCCTTTAAGCGAGAAACTTAAAGGCACGTGAATACCTTATCCAAGTCACTGACCAAGTGATTTACTTGGTATTTGAAATCAGGCAGTATAGTTATATAGCTACCAGAAGTAGTGGAGGAAGTGAGGTTGAGTGGGAAGAGCATTTCAGGTAGGACATGTAAGGAAGGACCTGAAAAGACTTTTCAGTTAACCCAGAATTGTTAGATGCTTTTACGAAAGGGTGATGCTTTCTTTCATTTTTAAGAAAAGGCTGTTTTGAAGCTCCCAACTAAATGGGCTGGTTTATGTGACTACAGAATTGACGGATGGTGTGTGGTATTCTTATGAAACCATTCCTGGAGTACTTATTGCTAATTCTTCCTTTAATTCTAACAGCGGGCTGTGCTGAAGTTTGCTGCTGCCACTGGAGCCACCCCTATTGCTGGCCGCTTCACTCCTGGAACCTTCACTAACCAGATCCAGGCAGCTTTCCGGGAGCCACGTCTTCTGGTGGTTACTGATCCCAGGGCTGACCACCAGCCTCTTACAGAAGCATCCTATGTCAATCTGCCTACCATTGCTTTGTGTAACACAGACTCTCCTCTGCGCTATGTGGACATTGCCATTCCATGCAACAACAAGGTAACAACTTTACAGTTTGTAAATGAATGCTGTAGAAAAGAATTGGAAATTCCTATGCACATTGTTAGAGCTTGGAGTTGAGGCCATTAACTGGCTGATGAACTCGCAAGTGTAGGTAGTGTGCTACATGAGGGGCAAGTTTTTCGCTAACACTCCATTCTGACCCAGTGAGTGGAGTTTGATAGTAATCCTTGCTACAAGTAAACTGTTAATGTATAATAGCGAAGAGAGATGATAATTTGGAAAGCAGCCTGTGTTTTCGTGATGACTTTTGGTACCAAGGGGCCTAAATGATATGGGCCAGGTAAAGTGAACAGGGAATTGCTTGCCATTTGGGGTTGAATAGATGTCAACTAATAACCCAGAATACTTGCAGGGAGCTCATTCTGTGGGTCTGATGTGGTGGATGCTGGCCCGAGAAGTTCTGCGCATGCGTGGCACCATTTCCCGTGAGCACCCATGGGAGGTTATGCCTGATCTATACTTCTACAGAGATCCTGAAGAGGTAAGCTTCTTCCACAAAAGGCTGTCACATGAGCGTTGGGCTACGTTGGTGTGTGCTTCTTGGAAACTAAATATGTTGGTTCTTCTAAACTTCAATATGTATATTACCAGATTGAAAAGGAAGAGCAGGCTGCTGCTGAAAAGGCTGTGACCAAGGAGGAATTTCAGGGTGAATGGACTGCTCCAGCTCCTGAGTTCACTGCTACTCAACCTGAGGTTGCAGACTGGTCTGAAGGTGTGCAGGTGCCCTCTGTGCCTATCCAGCAGTTCCCTACTGGTATGTATCCAGGGAACTTTTAAATTTTTAATCTCAGGAAATTATGCTAGCATTAAGAGGTTTTAATTAGTGTGCTTATCTACAAATAACCTTGCTGTTGAATTCAAGTGTTTTTGGAATATGTTAGCCTTAGTCTTTGTCTTTGGTATATTATGTGAAAGAAGGCCATGAGTATCTGATAGATGGGTTGTTGGGCAGAGTGGGGATAGTAGTACTTTTGGGGACAGAGCTAATGGCTTTTTGGTATTTTTCTTAACAGAAGACTGGAGTGCCCAGCCAGCCACTGAAGACTGGTCTGCAGCTCCCACTGCTCAGGCCACTGAGTGGGTAGGAACAACAACCGAGTGGTCTTGAGTTGTTCTGCAGTCACACATTAATAAGCAAGGTGGAAATAAGGAGAATAAGCACCAATTTACGGAGAATAAACAACCAATTTCTAAAAGTTTTGTCTATTTCAGTTTAATTCTAGATCAAACTGTTTAAGATTCTCTTAACACCTTTTGCTGGGAGTTTTTCTGAATTTTCTATTACAAGAAACGTGTCCTGAAAGTGGACTTCCACTATCATTTATATTGGTAAAATTTTTGAGAACCAAGATAGTAAATTAGTTTTCACTGCTTACCTTGCTGTTTACAATTTGTGCACAAGTGACTGTGGCATCTGCATACCTGTGTTGGGCAAACTTGGGGTTTAGTCTTATTGCTGGAATCCATGAAGGGGCCATGATCTTCCCAACACTGAGAGACATTTGCTTTTACCTCATCAGTTTTCCTACAGGCTGTGGTGGGGAATGTTTGTATTATGCTTTCTTATCCATTTCTATATTCATGTTGTCTTGAAGAATTTATAAAAACGTTCATGTGACTACATTTCCAGGACCCCTTCTCATGGTGCTGAGGCCGTGAGGGAACTGGACCCCTC